ATATTAGGCCTTTGTCAGATGCATAGTTTGCAAATAGTTTCTCCCATCCTGTAGGTTGTCTCTGTACTCTGTTGATAGTTTCTTTTGCTGTGCAGAAGCTCTTAAGTTTAATTAGATCCCACTTGTCAACTTTTGCTTTTGTTGTAATTGTTTTTGATATCTTCGTCATGAAATGTTTGCCCATGCTTATATCCAGAATGGTATTGTCTAGGTTGTCTTCCAGGGTTTTTATGTTAACAGTTTGGGGGTTTAAATCTAAGTCTTTAATCCATCTTGAATCAATTTTTGTATATGGTATAAGGAAGGGGTCCAATTTCCATCTTCTGCATATGGCTAGCCAATTATCCCAGCATTATTTATTGAATAGGAAGTTATTTTCCCAGTGCTTGTTTTTGTCAGCTTTGTCTAAAATCAGATGGTTGTAAGTATGTCACCTTATTTCTAAGCTCTCTATTCTGTTCCATTTGTCTACGTGTCTGTTTTTGTACCAGTACTATGCTGTTTTGGTTACTGTAGCCCTCTGGTATAGTTTGAGGTCAGGTAACACAATGCCTCCAGCTTTGCTCTTTTTGCTTGGGATTGCCCTGACTATTCAGACTCTTTTGGTTCCATATGAAGTTTTTTCCAGTTCTGTGAAGAATGTCATTGGTTGTTCAATAGGAATAAATTGCTTTGGGCAGTATGGCCATTTTAATAATACTGATTCTTCCTCTCCATGAGCATGGGATGTGCTTCCATTTGTGTCATCTCTGATTTCTTTGAGCAGTATTTTATATTTCTCATTGTAAAGATATTACACCTCCCAGATTAGCTGTATTCCTAGGTATTTTATTCTTTTTGTGGCAATTGTGAATGGGATAGCACTCCTGATTTAGCTCTCGACATGACTGTTGTTGGTATATAGGAATGCTAGTAATTTTTATTCATTGATTTTGTATCCTGAAATTTTGTCAAAGTTATTTATCAGCTGAAGGAGTTTTTGGGCCAAGACTATGTGGTTTTCTAGACATAGAATTATGTTGTCTGCAAACAGGGATAGTTTGATTTCCTCTCTTATTTAGATGCACTTTATTTATTTCTCTTGCCTTATTGCTCTGGCCAGGACTTCCAAAACTATGTTGAATAGGAGTAGTGAGAGAGGGCATCCTTGTCTTGTACCAGTTTTCATGGTGAATGCTTCCAGCTTTTGCCCATTCAGTATAATGTTGGCTGTTGGTTTGTCATAGACGGCTTTTACTATTTTGAAGTATGTTCCTCCAATACACAGCTTATTAAGAGTTTCTAACATAAATGGATGTTGAATTTTATTGAAAGTCTTTTCTGCATTGAGATAATCATGTGGTTTTTGTCTTTAGTTATGTTTATATGATAAATCATACTTATTGATTTGCATATGTTAAACCAATCTTGCATCCCAGGAATTAAGCCTATTTGATTATGGTGGACTCAGTTTTTTATTCAGTTTGCAAGTATTTTACTGAGAATTTTTGCATCAATATTCACCAAGGATATGGGCCTGAAGTTTTCTTTTTTGCTGTATCTCTGCCAGTTTTGGTATCAGGATGATGCTGGCTTCACAGAATGAATTAAGGAGGAGTCCCTTCTCCTCAATTTTTTGGAATAGTTTTAGTAGAAATGGTACCAGTTCTTCTTTGTACATCTAGCTAGCAGAATTCAGCTATGAACCCATCTAGTCCTAGCTTTTTTGGTTTGTAGGCTATTTATTACTGATTCAGTTTCAGAGCTCATTATTGGTTTGTTCAGGGAAGAAATTTTTTCCTGGCTCAGTCTTGGGAGAATATTCGTGTCCAGGAATTTATCCATCTCTTCTAGGTTTTCTAGTTTGTGTGCATAGAGGTGTTCATAATAGTTTCTCATGGTTATTTTTATTTTTGTGGGATCAGTGGTAACATCTATTTTGTTGATTCTAATTGTGTTTATTTGGATCTTCTCTTGTTTTTTCTTTATTAGTCTTGCTAGAGGCCTATCTCATTAATTTTTTTGAAAAACCAACTCCTTGATTTGTTGATCTTCTGAATAGTTTTTCATGTCTTGATTTCCTTCAGTTCAGCTCTGATTTTGATTATTTTTTGACTACTGCTAGCTTTGGGGTTGGTTTGCTCTTGCTTCTCTAATTATTTCAGTTGTGACATTAGGTTGTTAATTTGGGATCTTTCTAACTATTTGATATGGGCATTTAGTGCTGTAAAATTTCCTCTTCATACTGCCTTAGTTGTGTCCCAGATATTCTGGTATGTTATATCATTAGTTTCAAAGAACTTCTTGATTTCTGCCCTCATGTCATTACTCACTCAAAAATCATTCAGGAGCAGGTTACTTAATTTCCATGTAATTGCATGATTTTCATTGATTTTTTACTCTTGACTTCTATTTTTATTGTGCTGTGGTCCAAGAGTGTGTTTGCAGAATTACTTTATAACTTTATAATTTTTTAACCAGCAAATAGACAAATGGTATTCTGCCTAAAATTTCTATCTTCCTAGAAGCCAGAGAATGAATTAAGTTACATTTCAAAGTTACCTTCCAGGGTCATTAAAGCTATTCTTCATCTGCTTCCAATCAGATTAAAGTAGATCTAAAGAGCAGGACTGTGAATATTATATTCACTGCTACATCCTCAACTCATGATAGGTATTCAGTAAATACTTGTTCTTGCAAGTTTACTTTGTTTCCTCTGTGATAATTCCTCGTTTGTGGAGTCAACAAACCTTACCTAGATTTTCTGCTTATTTTAATAAAAGAATTTTTCAGTGTCAGTGGACAACAAGAAACAGAAGACTAAACTATCAAGATGGAGAAAACATTTTTAATCCCATCTACTAATGGAAACTACATGTAGTTTACCCAGAGCAGCCCCTGTAGGTAAACCAGACCACTTCATGTCAGTAAATATTACCAAAGGAAACCTAAGCAGGGACAGATGCCTTAAGATAATGATTTCTCAACCTGGGGAGTTAGAATGTAGGGGAGGATTCTCAGTATACTGGGTAGAAGATAATGGATATGAAATAAGAAAACCATATTATTTTATGCAAATTCAAATTCAAAAAATGAAGTAAAGACAAATTATAGACAAAAAATCTTGCAAATTCTTGACTGATGTTGAAAGATTGGGAAAAATGTTGGTGATGCATGTGAGTCAATCTGTGAATATGTTTAAGAAACTTGTACATTTTTAACATATGAATATGTTGCTACCTTAAAACTGAAGTGGAACCTTAAAGAGAAATGAAGTGAGGAATAGAAATGATGAATTAATTAATATTTGTTAGTTATGTGTCAGATGTTGGGATTTTGTCCTACTGACTTCACCACAAGTGGGTGGTCTCCTTTACACAGCCAGATGCACATCAACTTCTGATACTACATCTATACACTTTCGGTTCCCAAGAGATTTAACACCAGCATGCTCCAGCTAAATGCGCTTGCTTTATTTCTGGCTACGGCATCTCTTGAGCTGGTTCTCTACTATAATGAGCCAGATTTCACTACTCAGAAACATGCAGAATGTCCTTGACTTTCTTCCCTAAAATCGGATCTTCTGTTTCCTTTCCTATGAGTTCCAACCCAGTCCTATTGAGTCCTCCAAGGCAAATTTCTCACCCTGTTCCGACTGCCTAGGACGCTCTTCTCCTTCAGGCCAAATGCCTGACACTTGTTCTCTCACTTCATTCAGGTCTCTGCTCAAGTGTAACCTCATTAGAGATCATCCCTGATCACCTTGCCTAAAATAACACCTCTTCACTCTCTGTGTCCAGTCAGGCCTCCAGCAACACCTTACTCTATTCATTCCTCTGTATTTTTCATTATATAGCATGTATCACCACCTGACAACCTATTGTATTATATTATGACATGTGTGTGCATGTGTATGTGTGTATGTGTATATATGTATGTTTTTGGTCTACTAACTAGTAATTACATCCATGAAGGTAGAAACTTTGCTTTATTCTTGTTATATCCCCAACAGTTCTAAGCACATAGCAGGCACAAAAATAAATATTGATTAAATGGGTGAATAAATGAATCTTTTTTACCAGTTGAATATCAAGATATAAAAGAGAAAAGGTACAGTTTTGCTACTACTTGCAAAATCACTACTCATAGGATGATGACCTTACTATATGTCTTTGAAGCCTCATATCTAATTTTGTAGAAAACAGAACTATGTCTACCAAAATAAACATAATTTCTCAATCATTAGAAATGTTTGTCAGAGCAATCAAAACATGGAAAACTATGCAAAAGATAGAGTCAGATGACTGATATTTTTAGGTATGTTCTGTTAGCAATTTTTAGTTTATAAAAACTTTGACTCTCAAGAAAAATGACATCAAAGAGAAATTCCCAGATATTAACAGGCCTTTAACATATATACATGTGTGTGTGTGTGTCTGTGTGTGTGTGTGTGTATAAAATGAGTATCTGCTGGTAATATAAAACTATGAAAAATTATGATTCTTGACCTGTAAAAAGAGAACTCATTCATGCCAATTTCATGGATCTGCCAAGAGAAGAAATCAACTTTTCACTTTGCTCACTACAGAAAAACATTGAAGTACCATTTTGGTGGTAAGAATGAACAACCACAGTCATTCTTTGGTATTTTCCTTTTTCATCATTTATAGTTGTCAGAGCAGTGATCCTAGCATTGTTCCACATAGTCAAATCATACTCAACTTCGTCATTCTGTAGCTTCTTTTAGATTATAAGAAGAAGAAATTTTTGCTGTTTTCATTATAATGTATATGCTGAATTCTGCATTGTTTACTTCCACACACAGGGATTCTAAACACAATTTATTATTGTTCAGACCAATACCCAGGGAAGAGAACTCCTTGATGTTCACAATTCATGCATCTTTATTCTTCATTTAAATAAGTATAGTCAACAACTCCTCTGATGAGGAAATGCCAGGGCAGAAGCACTTCAGTTTCCTAAAAGAAAAAGTCTCTAAACTCCTGGATATACCGTATTTTAGATGTCTTAAAGTCCCACAGGAAAAAGAGTTGTGTATGAAAATAATATTATTGGCCGGGCACAGTAGCTCGCATCTGTAATCCCAACACTGCTCCCATCTATAATCCCAGCACTGCTCGCATCTACAATCCCAGCACTTTGGGAGGCAAAGGTAGGCAGATCACCTGAGGTCAGGAGTTCAAGACCAGCCTGGCCAATGTGGTGAAACCCCATCTCCACCAAGAAATACAAAAATTAGCCAGGCTAATTGTGATTGTAATCACAGCTACTCGGGAGGCTGAGGCAGGAGAATTGCTTGAACCCAGGAGGCAGAGGTTGCAGTGGGCCAAGATCACACCACTGTAATCTGGGTGACACAGCAAGACTCCATCTCAAAAAAAAAAAAAAGAAATAAAGAGAAAGAAAATGATATTATTAACAGTTCACAAGGTACTGAGTGTCTAAATAGAGAGAAATCTCCTGTCACCTTGGTACTGGCTGACATGTGGACTCTGACAGAAGAGTGGGCATCCGTGCCGTAGATGCTTCAGTGGTGTCATCACAGGCATAGTTTTAGTCTCACCTGACACAAAATGTGATTATAGTTTTAAATAATAATCATGAAGGCAAGTAATTTACATTTCAGTCTAATAAAAACACTAAGACCTTCCTTAGCCAAGCAGCTGAAATCCTGCTAATGAGATTCATCATTGGCCTGCTTAGTTACCTCATACATCTTTATCTGCTGATTCCAACTCTCTTCACATGCAGAACTACACATCATTCTTATAAATTATGTGAATCTCTTAAGAGTGAAACATTTCCGAGCAAAACACTACAAGCTTAGGTAATGTAGCAGAATGATCTCTGCTACAAGAGACTCAACTACTAAGTATATTCCTGGACAAGTTATTTTTCAATTAATGTTCCATGAGTAAATCTATTGGAAGCACTGTGGTAGTTAACCCTGGAGAATAGAAAGATGACTCTAATGATAGTTTGGACCTCCAAGTCAAGGGTATGGGTACATCATAGTGTATGTGTATTTCTACAATCTCATAGAAAAAAATAGGATATGGCCACATAGAATTATAATATTACTGTATTCACTGCCACGGTAAGATGCATTTTTTAAGAGTTAAGAATCTCTCCATCTTTTACTATAGTCTCTAAAAGTCTGAAACATCTATTCTTTGAATATTTCCTATCACTGGCCCATAAAACTCCCTTGGCCTGATGCTTTGGTGGTGCTGACTGGAGAAAGAGCTAGATTTTTAACAATCATTATTTGTTTTATATTTATTTGTCTCCTTGGGTTTTGTACATCATTATCAATTTGCTTTTGAATTTTAACAATATATTTTATTTAACCCAATATATCTAAAATACTACCATTTCAACATGTAATCCAAATTTAAAATTTTTAATGAGACCTTTTACATTCTTAGTAAATGTCTCCTAAATCCAGTGCATGTTTTACACTTACAATACATCTCAATTCGGACTTGACACATTTCAAGTGCTCACTACCCCCACGTGGCTAGAGACTACCATATCAAACAGGGCAGTTCTAGATCTTACCTCCACAGACTTTTGAGACCTAATGATTCTCACACTACCTTGTTCTGTAGTGACTGTGCTGCAAATACCTTGTCTAGATTCTGACATGATTTCCCATTTCTAAGCTACTGGTCACATTGAACTTTTAACTCCTAAATCACTGATTCCAGAAATGGACACATTACTTGGCTCTCTCAATACCTATTTCCTGTCTGACTAACATTGTCCTGCTGCTACATATCTGGCATGACATCAAGTAATTATTTAGGCTTTTCTCATTAGAAGAGAGTTCTGTTTTGTAGAAAAGGTATCACTGAGTGCAAGAACGTGCTGAATTCTCTGTGGATTCTTTAGATTTACCTATGGCGAGCTTAACTATTTGGAATATAAGACTATTATCTGGTTCCCAGATCCACTCATGGGTACTTGCTGCTTGCTGATGTAGTACACAAAAGAAAATAGCTTTTAAACATCAGAAGCTAAATATTATCCTGGTCTTTCTCTTTAAATTTGTTCAGTGAAAAATTCCTAATTTGTTCCCACAGGCCAATGAATGATTCCCTGTTTCAAGTAGAATGCAGTCAGTGTTATGTGCTCAGAAAGGCAGAGGGAAAAAAAGTATATAAGTAATTTTCAAAATATACCTAACTCTCTCACTCCCAGTTAACTTGGAAACCTTGATAGTCTTTTAAGTTTTCTATTTTACCTTTGAGGCCAAACCCCTGTGATTACGAGTGCATGCTCACAGGCCAACTTTAACCTTAAAGATGTGTTTTGCTGGCTCACACAGTGTTTAAAATTCGTCTGAACCTACATTTAGAAATTGGGAGCTTTCAGCTGGGCATGGTAGCTCACACCTGTAGTCCCAGCACTTTGGGAGGCTAAGGCGGGTGTATCATTTGAGGTCAGGAGTTTGAGACCAGCTTGGCCAATGTAGTGAGACCTCGTCTCTAATAAAAATACAAAAATTAGCTAGACATGGTGGCATATGCCTGTAATCCCAGCTACTCGGGAGGCTGAGGTAGGAGAATCACTTGAACCCGGAAGGAGGAGGCTGCAGTGAGCCGAGATCGCACCACAGTACTCCAACTTGGGCAACTGAGTGAGACTCCTTCTCAAAAAAAAAAGAAAGAAAGAAACTAGGAGCTTTCATGTAAACATTCAGTTTTCTAGCTTCCTTTAAAAAGTTGGAAGACTCATTCACACTGAGCATGGTACTTTTTGGCAGAGTTGGACTTGAGAGGGGCCATGCTTTCTATTTTGATGTATCAATTTTGTTTTCCAAGAAGCCCATCTGGTTCAACTAAAGATTGAAATTTATTGGAATAAAGTCATGTGAAAATTATTTTAATAAGCATTTTACCATAAAATAGAACAAAATGTATAAAATATAAATTCTCAGTTTAACATAAAATGGGCACCTATATCATCACAACTCAAACTATAATGTATTGCCAGTACCAAGGGTCCCTCCATTTGTCCATTCCCAATCAGAACCTCTACCTTCCCTAGGGAAACGACCACTCTTATAACCCCTGAGATTTTTTTTGTTCCTTTTGCTTTTCTTTTTAGACCTATGGCTATACATGCATGCCTAAACAATAAAGTTTAGTTTCACCCAATTATAAACAATATAAATGGAATCATGCTATATGTTTTATGCTATTTAGTTCTTCTTTTATTCAAAATTATGTTCATAAAATTCATCAGTGTTGTTGCCAGTGGCTATCATATGTACAATTTCAATGCCATATTCTACTCCTTTGAGTGAATATGCTGCAATTTACTTATCAATTATATTCTTCATGGTCATTTGGATTGGTTCTAGCTTTGGGATAAAGCTGATACAAACAATGCTGTTACAAACAATGCTGAAGGGGACACTCTTACACATGTATCTTGATGCAGATACTCACAAGCAGCTCTAAAATATATTCCCAGGAATAGAATTGTTAGGTCAAAGGGAAGCTCATTAGAGACTCAGCACCCAAAGTTTTTATTGGCAGCTTGTCAATGGGCATGCTTTGCCTGGAATATGCAAAAATTCTAGACTCAAGTGTTAAGTATAAACCAAATTGTTTGCACAAAGAGTTTAGGCATAGTTAGCAACACTTATCTGTTAAAGTGGTGGAAACCCTCCCAAAATTCAAGCTCTCAGACACCAGCCAAGGCCAACCTCTCTAAACAGTCCTACCAAACACTAGCTCTCAGGCTTGCTGTGCATGTCAACTCTTCTCTGTACATGCCCCAATACCAGACTCACTCAATTACTATTGCTTTGTAATAAGCCTTTATATCTGGAGTTTAAAATCCTCCAGCTTTGACTTTCTTTAGAATTGACTTGGTTATTCTTCCTCTGGAAGTTTCACATAATTTTAGCATTAGCTAATCAATTTACACATACAGTCATTGATGGGATTTTGATTGGGATCACGTTGAATTATACATCATTGAGGGTAAACTGACATCTTTACAATATGCAATCTTCAATTCTTGAAGATGAATTATGTCACCATTTACTTAGGTCTTTAAAATCCCTCCATTTTAAAAAACGTTTTCCATGCAGCATTGTGTATCTTTTCATAGATTTATTCTGAATACTTGATAATTTTTAACGATCTTGTGTCATTTTTAACTATTTGTTTTTGGCTCATAGAAATAAATTAATTTTTGTATCCATCAAACTTGCTAAACTCTTATTAATTTTAAGCATGTATGTATACACTCTTCCAGATGAAATAAGAAGCAGCATAGCATAGTTAGGAGCATAGATTCTGGAACCAAAGTACCAGCTCCACTGCTTACCGGTGTGTGACCTCAGGTAAGTCGCAATCTCTTTATCTTTCTGTTCCTTACCTGCAAAATAGAAATAACAATTATACCTTCCCCAGGGGTTGGTATGAGGATTCACTGAGATGATGTAATAGAAGCACCTAGCACAATCTCTGCATGTACTAAGCATTAAATGATGGTCATTATTACCATCATCATTATCATCACTATATGTACACACGATAAATAATCACATTTAGCCCCATAGACATTACTATTTTTGTTTATAAAGTCAGTGCCCCTTTAAATTTAGTGACATATTTACCTGTTTCTTTTTCATTCTTTCCTGCATCCCAGTCCTCCCCTCTGGAATCTCTGTCCTTCCATCTTATGTACATCTTTAGAAATTTCTCAAGTGACAGATTATATATTTTTATTTTAAAATGTTTTTATTTCACCTTCTCTTTTACAAAATACTTCCACTGGGTATAGACACTCAGAGCTGGCAGTTACTTGCTTCTCTGTGCACTGAGGTTATCAATCTACTGCCTCCTAACTTCCAGTTTCTATTGTGCTATCAAGAAGTTGACTGTCAGTCTAACCCTTAATCCACTAAACAGAATCATTTTTCTCTAAATCATATTTTTTCTGTAGCTTTATTACAATGTGTATTTCATTGTATTTACCCTACTCATGATTTGTTGTGCTTAAGCCTATTGATTGCCTGTAATCCCAGCACAATGAGAGGCTGAGGCAGGCAGATCACTTGAGGCCAGGAGTTTGAGACCAGCCTGGCCAACATGGTGAGACCCTGTCTCTGCTGAAAATACAAAAATTATCTGGGTGTGATGGTACATGCCTGCAATCCCAGCTACTCAGGAAGCTGAGGCAGGAGAATCACTTAACCCAGGAGCAGAGGTTGCAGTGAGCCGAGATTTCACCACTGCACTCCAGCCTGGGTGACAGAATGAGACGCTGTCTTTAAAAACTTGTTGATTGTTGTCTAAAACACCAAAAGCAACGGCAACAAAAGCCAAAATTGACAAATGGGATCTAATTAAACTAAAGAGCTTCTGCACAGCAAAAGAAACTACCATCAGAGTGAACAGGCAACCTACAGAATGGGAGAAAATTTTTGCAATCTACTCATCTGACAAAGGGCTAATATCCAGAACCTACAAAGAACTCAAACAAATTTACAAGAAAAAAAACAAACAATCCCATCAAAAAGTGGGCAAAAGATATGGATAGACATTTCTCAAAAGAAGACATGCATACAGCCAACAGACACACGAAAAAATGCTCATCATCACTGGCCATCAGAGAAATGCAAATCAAAACCACAATGAGATACCATCTCACACCAGTTAGAATGGCGATCATTAAAAAGTCAGGAAACAACAGGTGCTGGAGAGGATGTGGAGGAATAGGAACACTTTTACACTGTTGGTGGGATTGCAAACTAGTTCAACCATTGTGGAAAACAGTATGGTGATTCCTCAAGGATCTAGAACTAGAAATACCATTTGACCCAGCCATCCCATTACTGGGTATATACCCAAAGGATTATAAATCATGCTGCTATAAAGACACATGCACATGTATGTTTATTGCGGCACTATTCACAATAGCAAAGACTTGGAATCAACCCACATGTCCATCACTGACAGACTGGATTAAGAAAATGTGGCACATATACACCATGGAATACTATGCAGCCATCAAAAAGGATGAGTTTGTGTCCTTTGTAGGGACATGGATGCAGCTGGAAACCATCATTCTCAGCAAACTATTCCAAGAACAGAAAACCAAACACCGCATGTTCTCACTCATAGGTGGGAACTGAACAATGAGATCACTTGGATTCGGGAAGGGGAACATCACACACCGGGGCCTATTATGGGGAGGGGGGAGGGGGGAGGGATGGCATTGGGAGTTATACCTGATGTAAATGACGAGTTGATGGGTGCAGCACACCAACATGGCACAAGTATACATATGTAACAAACCTGCACGTTATGCACATGTACCCTAGAACTTAAAGTATTTAAAAAAAAAAAAAAAAAAAAACTTGTTGATTGTTGGCTTTCATTATTCCTCAAAAATTTTCTCTGAATGTCCTCCTACCTCCTACCTATTATTTCTCTCCACTCTTTCTGAAATGCGGAGTTAAGTTCATGTTAGTCCTTAAGATCTTACCTAGCATTGTTTCTTCACCATTTTCCTCTCATCTTTTTCACTTTCTGATTCATTCTGCATAATTGTTTTGGCCTTATCTTTCTGTACATAAAATTTTATCTAGGTTTGACTAACTTGTTCTATTTGATTCATTTTCAAATCTGCTAGATCACATTTGATAGATTTCTATCCCCTGAATCCAGTTTCATTTTGGCTTTTATTTAAACAGTAAATAGTGTTGTTTTATAGACTGTCATAATTCCAGTATCTATAGATTTGCATGATTTCTTTTGATAATAGTGTCTGCTGGTTCTAATTGGTAATACTTTGTTTCTTTGTGTTGTCTTTGAGTATATGCTGTATGCTATTATATGCTGTATGCTGTAATACCCTAAAAAGGCGGGGCATGGCGGCTCACACCTGTAATCCCAGCACTTTGGGAGGCCAAGGCTGGTGGATCACCTGAGGTCAGGAGTTCAAGACCAGCCTGGCCAATATGGCAAAACCTTATCTCTACTAAAAAATAAAAAAAATTAGCTGGGCATGGTAGCAGCTCCTATAATCCCAGCTACTCAGGAGGCTGAGGCAGGGAGAATTGCTTGAACTTGGGAGGCGGAGGTTGCAGTGAGCCGAGATCACACCACTGCACTTCAGCCTGGGTGACAGAGTGAGACTCTGTCTCAAAATAAGTAAGTAAGTAAATAAATAAATAAATAAATAAATAAATAAATAAAGTATTATTCGTAGAAATAACTTGAAGCCTGGAATGAAAATATATTTCTCCAGAGAAGATCTTATAGTGTCCTTGGAGCATATTAGTCTGATACCATTGTAAATTACATTTGTGGCTTGACATATTTTGGACCTCCCAGGTGATATAATTTGGGGGCTGCCCAGCTTCTTGAGTGCTAGTATACTACTAGTTCCTTTTTGCCCTGAGAGTATGGCTCTTTGGGTTCACAATTTAATGTGAGGGCAGTCACTTATTAGACATCCTACGTTGAGCAATTATTGGGCTTTGATTTCTGTTTGCTTTTCCTGGGAAGCTGTGACAGCCGGTATTCAAATTGACAACAATGGGCAAAACCCTGAGGACAAAGTCTCTACTCCCCTTATCTCTCCGACTTCCCAAATCCTCTTCAACCTTGGCCTGATGTCTTTTTACTATTTTGTCAGATTTTTAGTGCTTTTTAATAATATAGTAGGCTGGGTGCTGTGGCTTATGCCTGTAATCCCAACATTTGGGAGGCCAAGGCAGGAGGATTGCTTGAAGCCAGGAGTTCAAGAAGAGCCTGGGCAACATAGTGAGACCCCATCTCCACAAAAAAAAAAAAAAATTCTGAAAAGTAGCCAGGCATGGTGGTGTACACTTACAGTCCTAGATTCTGGGGAGGCTGAGGTGAAAGAATCACGTAAGCCCAGGAGTTTGAGGCTCCAGTGAGCTGTGATCACACCACTGCTCTTCAGCGTGGGTAACAGAGCAAGACCCTGTCTCAAAAAAAAGAAGAGAAGAGAAAGAAAAGAGTTTACATTTTTCATCCAGCATTTTTAATAGTTTACAACAGGAAAGTGGCAAACTAACCTAAGCCACTATGGAAAAGGAAGTCCCATTATGTACTTTATATTCTCTTTCATACTTTTTCTTTTATTATTTCTCTAAGTGTGTTCCAAAGAATGTCTCACTTACTGATGTTTGCAAAGAGCCAACCAGCTTTGATTGCTTTTTGTTTTCTATTTTATTATTTTTTATAATTAATGCTTTCCTAGCATGTTTTAATTACTTTTCTTGATTCTAATTAGAATGCTCAGCTATTCCATTTTTCTTTTTTTCAAGTAATTGCATATAAAGTTATAGACATTTCTCTGAATACATTTTTATTTTAATTTGTCATGTTTTCTAGATGGTCTGTAATATCAGCCTTTACATCCCCTTTAAACAACAATTTATTTAGAAAAGTGTTTCAGTTTTTTTAACTTCAATATATTTTATCCTATATTTTTATTATTAATCTGTCTACATTGCTATAAGTTCAGAGAATGTGGGCTTTAATTATTTTTATTGAGATTTTCTTTACGAACAAATATATGATCAAATATATTTGTGTTCCATAGGTGTTTGCAAATAATATTCATTCTCTGTTCAAGACAAAATTCTTCATTAGATATTAATTCAAATGTTTTGTTATTGAAATCCCCTATAATTATATTTTTAATTTTCTGAATTTGTCTATTTCTGAGAACAGAGTTGGGGTAGGCAGAATAATGGTCCCCCAAAGACGTACATATCTTAATCCCTGAAAACTGTCAATGTGTTACTTTACATGGCAAAGAAGAATTAGGTTTCAGTTGGAATTAAGATTGTGAAAAGGCTGACCTTAAAATAGGGAGATTGGCCAGGCATGGTGGCTCACGCCTGTTATCCCACCACTTTGGGAGGCTGAGGTGGGTGATTGCTTGAGCCCAGGAGTTCCAGACCAACCAGGACAACTTAATGAGACTCTGTCTCTACAAAAAATGAAAAAAATCAGCCAGATGTGGTGGTGCATACCTGTACTCCCAGCTACTCAGGTGACTGCGATGGGAGAATTGCTTGAGCCGGGGAAGTCAAGGCCGCAATAAGCTATGATCACTGCTACTGCACTCCAGTCTAGGCAACAGAGCAAGACTGTCTCAAAAAAAAAAAAAAAAAAAAAAGGAGATTATCCTGGATTATCTGGATAGATCCAGTGTAATCAGAAAGGCTCTGAAAAGTAGATGATGGAAGAAGTGGGCCATAAGTCAAGAAATGTGGGAGGCTGCTGGAAGCTGGGAAGGGCAAGGACACAGCACTATGGAAAATACTGTCAACAATATACCGTCATTGTTATTTTCTCTCAGAGCCTCCGAAAATGAATACAGCCCTGAGG